ATAGGTAAGTGATTTCTTTTTTACCCTGAACGAAGCTTGCCACCTCTACGTGGTGTTCAGGAGAAACAGTTGTAAGTTAATAACTGGCCAAGAGCAAGCAATATTTGCAATATTTCATTTTACATATTTTTGGAATTATTGCGCCATTTTGTATTGAATGTCACGTAAATATGTTCATTCATAATATTAGCATCATGTTACAAAAGTTAAGGATTCTTGTTTACCATGTACATACTAATTTTTTTATACTACTTTATTATAACATTGACTAAAATATTTTTAATATTTTGAATTTGATAATTATATGATATCATTTCTCGGAACAAGAGTGTAATAAATACGATAACTGCAAGGAAATCTACAGTACATATTCATCAATATCGGACTTTAAACGTATGGTGATTTCAACTACATTTCATTCTATTGGTTCTTTTTTTAACGGAAAAATTTTTATTTGATTTTATCAATTTAAGTTAGCCATATATGGATGAATTAAATTTTTTGTGATACAATATTCCTTAATTAGTTTTTGTACTTTACTGGGCGTTAAATATCTAAAAAAAAAAAGTTTTATAATAAAATATCTCATATTCAATATTTATATTTTATGTCAGCAGTGAAATGATTGTCAGTGAAATGATTGTTGGTGAAATAACCTTGTCGGTGAAAAGTTTGTCAGTGAAGTGATTGTCAGTGAAATGAACCAGACCTAACGTTAAAAGATTACCTTAATATAATTTTATCATTATTATTATTCATTTATTTTATTTAGTATTTATCCAAAGTTTTTACTAATGCAATTAATATACAGTAAATATTGTTACCACCAGTTTCTGAAGTTTGATAGGTAGTAACAGAAAAAATATAAGGATCGGTTAATAAATGACAGGGTAAAATAATTATGTATGACAAGCGATAAGGTAAAAATGTATACGGATAAATGATAATAAACGATTGTGAACGATAATAAGTAATGTGATAGATTGAGGGTAGATCGGGTGGTTTGTGTATAAAAATGTATACGGATAATCAATGGTATATAACAAAAAACTAACAAATGATAATGAAAGACAATGTTAATAAACGATAATAATAAACAGTGTGTTAAAAATGACAAAACATATATAAGTAATGTGGAAACAGATTGGCAGGTTTATTAACAATGGAACAAATACGATATTACTGCCTCTATCGGCACTCTGTAATATCTGTATATCTATCTGTTGAAAATAAAACCTATGCAAAACTAACTCAAACTTAGGACTAACCGAACTACTCCAATTGCATTTCCAACAACGGTTTTTTTTTATATTGTTAAAAATTCTGGTGCAAATCTGTCTTTAAAACAGAATTGCCACCCGGCCAATTGTTGGTGATCTGGGCATATTTGTCTATACAGCCACCTGTATCACCTGTATTCAGCCACCTTCCCACAGCTAAGCTTCCGTTGTTATTTAATCACTAAATAACTGAAAATAACTGAAAATAACTCTATGTAACATAGCTAAAATAAATAGATAAAAATAAATAAAAAAATAAAACATATAAGAAAAAAATATCCCATGACAATATTAAGTTTTAATAAAATAAAATTTCGAGATGTAGATAACCTGCACCAAATGTTGATATTCATTTGTCACTAAAAGATTATATGAATAACAGGATAACAGATAATCAGATTATATGCCCAGTAATAGATGACGAAGAATAATGTTATTTTTCCTTCATTTTCGTAAATTTTTATAATTTTTAATTTTTGTAATCTATCATTATAAGTGGACGATAATGTAAGATAACCATATAAGCACGAAATATCTTTATATAAGGATGAAGGATCATTGCAAACTTCAATAATAACATCATAATATTCATCATCAATTGAAATTTCAAGTAAATTTTGGGATAAGTTACGTAAAAGTTTATTTATTATTCATAATAAAAAACAATTCGTTTGAACTTTGAACGGTAAACCTTATATACAGTATAATGCTGCTGCAGCTTGTTTAATTATAAAAAATGAAAATAAATATACATTTATAATTTGTATTTTATCTTAATAATGTAAAATAAAGAAAATAAAAGGTTTATTAAAAAAAAATATACTTTATTTTTAAACACACATATATACTCAAGATATATTTGAAAAAACTGATATCAGTATTATGCTTTTAACATTAATATAGCACACTAAAATATAATAAGATCAATAATATATTTTAATTGATATTCATCCTAGGTATAATTACATTATTGTAAATCAAGAGTTCATGTTTAAAGGGGAGTTAGGACTATAAAATGTAGAATATATAAAATATAATTTATTTTGAACTTGTTTTATGATAAAACACTTCTGGAATGGTAGTATAACGGTATTTGGGATTAAGAGGCGATTTGAACATCGCAATGTGAATGACAAATACTTTCATTCAATCCCCGTCTTAGCCGGTGGACCTGGAACTGGAAAGAGCAGATTTCTTGATGAAATCGAAAGAATTGTATCAATGAATCTGATGAGGAAATACGTAATGATTTTGCAAACTTAGTCGTCATAAACATCACCTATGAGAATGGAAGCGCTGCCAATAGTGTAGATGTAAGAATTAGAAAAATTGATAAAATTGATAATGAGAAAGTAATTAACGGCCATACATCTCTTTCTCTACGTATTCTGTTTGAGTATTTCCAACCGCAACTCATTGACGGAAATTTACTTTTTACAGTTTTAATACACTTTGCAAACGTTCAGATGTTTGCCAACTTTAATTTAGACACTGTTCTCCGAGTTGTATATGTTGGAGCAAGAAACAACTTCTAACCCTCTACTGGCCCATGGTCCTTGGAATTGACGAGTTAAATAATTTCATTGGAGGAATTATGTGTAACCACCTACAAACATTTATTTCATTCCTATCCTGGCTGGAACGATTGAAGGATACGTAAAAAATTATTTTTCAGGTTCTATGCATGAACCACTTTTCCTTCCACTACGTAAGAAAAATTTAAAAAATTACAATTAAAAAGATAGAAAACTTTGAAAGAAATGTTTATAAAAAATTTTTTTAACATATGTAATGTTCTAAAAAATTATATTTCATTTTGCATTTTAAATAGTATAATTTTATAAAGAGATACGTTCATACGTTCAATATGGTACAATGTAATAGTATGAGGTAACCAAATACAGTATACAGTATATAATAAATTTATTACAACACTTTTCAAACGAAAAAACGGTGATAAAATAAAATGATTGCATTGTATATACAGTATACCAACTGAATACGTAAAAAAAAGAATTGTTAATAAAACAATAAAGAATAATTTTTAAGATAAAAATAAAAAAATTAATTTATTCATAATCCTTAGATTTTTGCAAAAAGTTATTCTAAAAATACTAAATGGTTTATGCACTAAACCGTTCGCCATCAAAAATCTGTATATATTATAATTTTGACTGGTATCATTAGAAGATTGGCTAGAATTTATTATAAACAAGATTTTTTTGATGGAAATTCTATCAAATCTTCACTAATAGATTTCAGTGGTTGAACAATTCCTCTTGGAATTTCTTGACCTAAGGCTTGAGATCCTATCGACACCAATCCCAATATGCTTGTATTTCAATCTCTGCATTATAATTAATAACTTTTATCGCTAATATAGTTTAAAAGCATCACGGAATCAAAATAAATAATATAATTAAAGCCTTCTCTTTTGTGTAAATGTTTTTTAACAATCACTTTATGATTCACTGTAAATTAGGTAGAATTTTCTATTTTTATTTTATAATAGATTGAATGAACTTTGAAAAAAAAAGAAAAGAAATTAGCGTAACGTATATGTTTGTTTAAAAAATGAATATACCTTAATCAAATTATCATAATAGTAACTAACACCATTTTGAAATTTAAATTAGCACTTGGTTATAACTTCATTATCTTGGGACGTGAATCATTAAAAATAAATCGTATGACAAGAAAATGTAAAAGGATATTTTGAAGCGTGGAAAAAAAATAAAGGAGACGTGGCTTATCAAAAAAGGTATACCAAATTAATTAACACGTCATTTAATATCAAACTTTTTGGAGAAATACTATACACGCTAAAAAATTGTAAATTGTAAAAATTTATTATTTTCATTAAATCCAAAGTTGTACTCGGAAATATAAAAGAACATAACATGGAAATAGGAATTAAGAGTATAATTTGTTATTCTATGATAGATCAGGCACACCTACCAGTTTCTCCTTAATGTCTACCTTTAGTCCCTCTCTACTAAGTAAAAAAAAAATAAAACATACATTAAAAAAAATAATGTTAATCAAAAAAAATCACATTTTAAACCCATAATAATAATTTGTTTGGAACTGTGACAACCACATGAGTATATAGTAAAGTAGTATGGTACAATATAATATAATAAGTAAGGTATTATTAATTATGTACAGGTACGATGGGTTAAAAGTGCTTCTTGATCAATATATTATTAGTCATACAACTGCTGATATTGATATTTGATAAATTGCGTGATACGACACATACAATTGAAGGCCAGTCCTGCGGATCAGCCAAATACTCCTTTAATCAAATCAATCAATCAATCTGTCCAAATATAAAATCAGCGTATTCGTTCCTTTCATTTTATCTATAACCCACTGATTATTTTTTTTTTTATAAATAAACCACTTTTTGCACTTTTTTTTTTAACGATGTTTTTTATATTTTAACTTTTATAACGATGTCTTTTGTATTTTAACTATAACGACGTTTTTTATATATTTCTTTTATAACGACCTTTTTTATATTTTCTTTTACTTTTATAACAACATTTTTTATATTTTTCATATATTTTTTTATAACGAAGTCTCTCTCGTCTTTTATAATTTTTTTATAACGATGTCCCTTTTTTTACAACGAGGTCTCTTTTTTTACAACGAGAGTTCTCCATCAATTACAGCAGACCTAAAAAAAGAAAGACGAAAAAAAAGAAGATAAAACAACACTCCCAACCCATACACAAACCCACACCCAAACCCAACCCAGCCAAACCCCACACTCCCAACCCACACCCAAACCCACCCATACTCCCAACCCACATACCTGGTCTCTTTTTTTTTTTACAACGAGGTCTTTTTTTTTATATAACGAGGTATCTCTCTCGTACAAAAAGAGTTTGTTTTGCAGTTTTATTAGTAAAAACGCCCATTTCCTGACGATGTCTAGG